CTGACGCTGGAGCAGGAAGCCAAGCGGCAGAGGCTGCCTATGCCCAGTCCAGAGCGCCTCGACAAGGTGAGGGCGGAGCACTTCCCGTGTCCCTGGTCAAATACATTCCTTTCCCCGTCTCTGTTTGGTTTGGTAAATTTGCAGGGCTCTGCAGCCGTCACAACTGTCTCATCCTGAGCGTTTCCATCCCCACAGAGCAGAGCTCCCAGCCGTCAGCTCCCAGTTTATCCGCAGCCCCGTGTGTGCACGGGTGTCTCCTATGCGCAGATGGCGAGGAGGGAGGTGCCAGGCCCGTGTCACGTCTGTGTGTGACTGCCCGCTCTGCGTCCCGACTTCCAGGGTAGTCACTCTCACTAACTAGGTCGGGGTTTTTTGGGAAAGATTTTTGCTATAGGGTATGTGTGCTCGCCAGAAAGACAGACAGAGAGCGAGACATCACTCCCTGGAGGGCATGGCCACACTGCAACCCCTTCTCCTCTTGGGCACGCATGCACACGCACCTGGCTTCAGTTTCAGCCACCAGGCCCAGGACTCGAGCCACAGCTGACTACGTGGGAGTGCAGCAACATAGCCACTGCATCATCTGCTGGTACCAGTAAAATAATTCTTTAAAAAAAAAAAAGATAAAGAAAATAGAACAACTCTGTTTTATGATAGCTTACTCTTAGCTGCCTACCGTTAGCCACTCTGTTCTCCTCACACCAGCCACAGCCATCATAGCCACACTGCCTTTAGAGGAAAGGACATGCTATCCCAGAAGGCCAAGATGGTCTAACTAAAAGCTCAATTATTTACCCGAACTATGGAAGAAGTTATTCAGGTATTAAAGGTTATAAGCCACTGCATAAAATGGAAATCCATGAGTCCGTACTGATAAAGATAAGTGAATGAGAAATAAGGAAAGAGAAGAGAGCCTTTCCTTACAAAGAAAGCCAATTAGTAAGCACAGAATGACGACAGGGTTAGAAATGACCACTTAGCAGACATAGCTGACCCAGACAAGGACTCCGATGGGTGCTAAAGTTACTGAGTAAAAGTGAACTGCATTTTGACATGATGTTAGACGTTAGAAGTTCGAGGACAGGACAGGCACGCACACCCTCCCCCGTGTGCCTCGTGTCCCATCTCACGGCGGTGGCGTTGCTGTCCTGCCCCCGTCCCTCCCGTCGTTGCTGGGTGAGCTATCAGGATGCCCCTTCATGAAGCCTTCGTTGGTGCTTTCCCCACACCGTGGGTATTCCTTCACCACAACCACCGTGCAGTTCCTAAGTCGCAGAAGCAGTGGCGTGCTGCCGCTGTCTGCGACCTGCAGGTGTGCTCAGACTCAGCAGTGCTCCCAGCGCTGCCCTTCCTAGCAGGAGGTAATCTTGCATCGTCACTGTGACATTGTGTCTCTTTAGTCTCTTTAATCTGGAGACACCGTCTTTTTTGAAGAGCATAGGCCAGCCCTCAGTCTGGGTCTGTGCTGTCTCCGTGATGAGCTCAGCGGGGCAGCACAGATCGTGGTCACTGCAGGTCTGCTTCCAGTCCACGGCCCACCGAGGACTCGGGTTCCTCAGCACAGCCGATTCGGGGCTGGGCGGCAAAGTTTCACGTGAATCTCGAACATTCTGTCGTGTCTCAGCAAAGAACAGCGAGGACAGGCCTGGTCTGCGGGGCTCACAGCAGCCAGGGCTGGGGTCAGGAGGATACTCAAGGTTATAGCCCTCTGCATAAAACCAACACCCGTGACTTCACAGTGATAAGAATGATAGGAACTACCAGGTTGTTGGAAAAGTCATGACACATTTCTACACAGAAAAACAGAAAAAAAAAAACATGTCCTCACTCTTTCTGATATTGCAATATAAATAACCACTTAGCAAAATCATGACAATTTAGACAAGAATTATCTATGGATGTTACATTACTGAGTGAAAGCTGAGAACTTACGGGATGCTTAAATGATTCCAAAAGTATTTTCTAACAGGTTCATGGATAGTTAGGTACAAAGAAAACAACAGTGATACAGGAGACACCTGACAGACTGTGTTTGCCAAATCAATGCCAAGACCGTCAGCGTGATGGCTACGCCTCCTGGTCTGACGTACCGCGAGCACAGCAGTCTCTGCTGACCCTGCTGAGCTCGGTTCAAGTCCCAGACCTGGCAGCTTGCTTTCTCACTTATTGATTAGAAATACAGTAACAAGGTGATAATAAAAAACTTGACTATAATTTTACCAGTTTTTTTCATTTCTTTAAAAACTATATTTCAAGGGCTACTCTTTAAATTTAATTTCCGGCTCCAATTAGAGGTATTTTCTCTAACTCTGAAGTTCTACCGTCCTACCAGGTCATAGATTCCATGGATGCGTTAGATCAAGTGGTCCAGGAGAGAGAAGACGCGCTAAGGCTTCTTCAGACGGGACAGGAAAAGGCCAGACCGGGTGCCTGGAGAAAAGACCTCTTTGGAAGAGTTATCTGGTACACAGGCCATGTTGTGGCTCTTTGAGATCCGAGGGGACCCTGATCACCTCCCCCCCGCCACCACCCAACAGGGACCCCCTCAACAGATGAGATGCATTGGAGATGTGTCTGGGACTCCTGGGACACCAGGACATGAGTGAATATAGCTTGTTCTGGTAAAACCAGTACCACACAGACAGCCCGTGCCCGAGAGTCAAGCATCTACTTCTTACCACAGACTTCATCTTAGGTCAGACATTTGATCTTCGGAGAATCAGGACTTACCAATCCTTTTCCCATAAAAATGTACATGTGGACATATCACTTCGGGTTATAAACCCGGACATTTGCCTTCCTTGGGGCCGGCAGGTGGCACCGTGGTTAAGGGCTCTGGACTTCCACATGGCCAACCGCAGTTCGAATCGTGGACCTTCCCCTCTCTGAGCAAATTAAACAATAAATAAAGGTAAATTTAAAAATTCTTTACAATTAAAGGAAAAAACAAGACTAAGGGGAAAAGTGCTTGAGGAACAGGCTCATGAGCTGACCTCAGCCAGCTCCCATCACCATCAAGATCAGTCCTGGCCGAGTTTGGAAACTACTTGTGTAGGTTTTGACTTCTAAAAATTCATTTTAATTGATATTATTATTTAACTTTATTTATTTGCTCACTTAGAGTGACAGAGGGAGAGAAGGGGGGGGAAGGTGAGAAAACAGGCCGCCAGGTCTGGGACTTGAACTGAGTCGGCCATGTGGGAGTCCAGCGCCCTAGCCACCACACCACCTACGGCCCCAACGGTTTATTTTTATACCTCCTCTCCAGTTCCCAGAGTCTTACCAGCCTTTGAGAAAGAATGTGATTGTTCACAGTCGAACTGAGCTATAAACAACTGAGAAGGCCCAGTGTAATTAAACACGTTTTAGGGAATTTACATAAGTTTTGATTGAACCAAAATGAAGCATCAGGAGAATTTCAGACATGGTTAGCAAACTGGAGAAGGCATTTTGGGTGGTTGGAGAGCTTCCCTGCACGCTCGAAGGCACAGCACTCGCTCATCGGGGGCTGCTCGGAGCCAGCTGCAGAGCAGAAACCTGGCTGCCTAGGACTGTCGGTCTAGCATGGGAGGAGGCACTGCCAAGTCATCACACCGAGACCTTCACCAGTTTTTACTGGGGTTAATCCTTGAGCTCCGTCAGAATAGAACCATATGGAATGTCTCTGAGGCAGTAACTTCTGCTTTCTCGGCAGGCACAAGTTCAAGCAGTGGCCTTTGCCGTGGCACTTAAATAAAAGGTACAACAGGAAGCGGTTCTTTGCCATGCCGTACGTGGATCACTTCGTCAGGTGAGTGCACGCCCTGATGGCCACATGGACTTCTTTCGCTTAGGGACGGGTGTTAGGCCTTGACATTTCAGTTTCTTCAACTAAGTAATGCTCCGTGTAGAAGTAGGGAGGGGGTAAAATGGAGAGTGGGATTCACGCGAGGCCTTCAGAAAGTCCACGTTATGGGCACCTTACAGGTGAGCTGCACATGGGTTTCCGGGTCCTTTCCACCAAAGAGCTCGTGCTGGGACTGCTCAGAGGCCGCAGTGTGTCCCCAGCACTTCCACTGTCTGTCCGTCCATCCAACGGTGTAGAAATAGATCTCAGGACTTCCTGGGATGATGAGTGAAAGTTTGGGCAATCCAGCTGCATGATTGTGAGCTCACGATGTAATGCATTTTCAGAAGAGCCATGATGCATTTTTGCACAGAAAGACAAGTGACGACTTTTCCCACGACCCAGTAGTTATCCAGCAAATACTGAGCTCCACATACTTCCTCCAGGGAGCCTCTGGGTTTGTGAAGTGTGTCACTGAACAGGGAGCACACAGGACTTGGGCTGTATTAGAGGAGGGAAGTGGCCCCACGAGCCCCTGGCTGACGAGTGTGTAAACTAGTAATGCTCTAAATGAGGTACTTTAAAACACGGAATCCATATCCAGAAGCAGACAGAAGCCAAAGGAGAGTTTAAGCTCCAAAACTGCAATTAGAAGGGGAAAGACACTCTCACGTGGCTGCTCACGGTTCGAGTCCATGAGAATGGAGAAGGGACTGCAGCATGGCTACCCCTGGGGTAGCCCTCTTTCCCTCCTCCTCTTCGGCGAGCTCTCACATCCTGCAGTTAGCCTTCATTCTTCCAGATTGGTTTATTCTTGTGCGTGGCTAAAATTCGAGCAGAGACTGAGTAGAACAGGTGACCGTCCCAGCCTCACGCCCTTCTTTACACTTAGTTGCACGCGTACTTGTGTCTCCACCCGGAGTGATGGGCTCACATCTCAACGGCCTGCCTGTAGCACTGGCACGTCACCACAGTTGGTACGTCTGCGTGTCTTATGTGAACTCACGCCTACTCACAGTAAAACACCATTTACAACACCAGGTGGAGCAGAGGCTTGGGGTCCACGAGTCCATCGCTGTCCCTTTTGGTGGCCCTGCAAGGTCGGCATAGTTTAGCAGGTCAGGACCAAGCAGGAGGCTCCTGCAGGCTGCCAGGACTTCGCTCATGTTCACTCGTGACATGGTTCCTCGGCGCTCTCTAGTTAGGCTTAGTAAGTGTAACCCCGACTGGCTCACGGCTGCTCTGTGACGAACTGGACATATTTGAAAGTACGGCGTAACAGGGAAATCCTTTTGTATGAACTGTTATATTTTTATTATTCTAGACTGAGACTTGAGAAACATGCCCGCAGTGAAGCGAGGAAGAAAAGCTTACAGAAGAAGAAAGAAAAGTTTCTCCAAGAAAAGTTCCCAGATCTTTCTGAAACTCAGAACTCCAATTTTGCCTAAGATGTCTGAAGTTTTACCACTGTGTTCGCTGCAAACAAAAGTGTATATACAAAAGTAAATATATGTCAAACAGTTCATAAAGTATTTTTAGTCAGATGACTCATCAGCTGTTCTGTTAATATGCGTGCTAAGGACATGCTCGTGCTCCCACCAGATCATTTTTAAGTAGGGGTATGTCCAGCTTATACTCCCTCTGGATAGCGCCTGTCCTCTAAATGACTTTCCACCCCCGGCTGTCATAAGGGGGCCCGGGAGATGCCAGCCTGGTGAAGGCAGGGTGGCAGCTTTTGGAACTCAGGCAACATTACAACTGCTGTTCACAGGATGTGAGAGGATGTGGACACCGCAGTGAGAGAATACTGATAAAAATAATGAGAAATTGGGGGCCAACAGGTGGCGTGGTGGTTAAGGTGCTGGACACTCCCACGTGGCCGACCACGGTTTGAGTCCCGTACCTGGTAGCTTGCTTTCTCACTTTCCCTCTCTGTGTCTCTCTCTGGTCAAATTAAAAAATAAATGAGTGGATAAATAAATAAATAATTTTAAAATATAATAATGAGAAATACATGTAGTACTTAAGGTAGCAAGTCACAGTGCACACAGTCCAAAATAGATTTCTGGAGTGGCCAGTCATTTTTATTTAATTTTGTAAGCCTAAGGTAAAAGGCATAGGCAGTAACTTTTACTACTCAATGTAAAGCAATTCTACCAACCCACTGGTAATTAATATTCTAAACAGAGTTGGAAAGTATCTTACCGAAAGCAAAATATTTAGAGAAAATAGACATTTATACAAAATTATAAAATGCTTGTAATAAGAATAAGTGCATTTCAAGGAAAGCACAAACTCATTTTTAATTTATAGAGCCAGTTAAAGCCTTAAAAAATTTAAGTGAAAATTGAAATATGCAAAAATGTATAAACATTCTACAAAAGATGGTCATCCTTTTCCTGAGTATACTAAAGCTATGAAACAAGGGGCCAGGGGAGGTGGCGGCTCGGAACTTCAAGGGCATTTCCTCTCCACGCACTGCTTCCCGCCTTCTTCATACTCTTGTTTGGAAATCCACATCTGTTGAAAGGTACCCTTCAAGATGGAAAGAAACATAATTATGCCTTACTTACGAGAAAATGCTTTTTCTATCTTCTTTTCCACAACTAAACTTGAAACTCTCCCGAAACAGTACTCTATTACACTCTCACTTCTGCCAAAGCAGCAGTCAGCTGCGCTTTTACACTCGGAAGGAATACTGAGTCCACGTGCACCCGCGAGCCCGTGTGGGAATGAGAGACTGACCAGCAGGAGAGACCAAGAACGGCCATGCTGGCCTGGTGCAGCCACGGCAGTGACAGCAGCTCTCTGAAGGCCTGGACGCCCGGGAAACGACTTCGGCTGCTCTGGGTAAAGCAGGAAGAGCCGGGACTTCCTCTGATTCACAGCGGATATCCCAGTCCAGCCACACGTAGCCCCGCACTGTGGGTTTACCATTCGCCCAGGAGTGAACATGACTTCCCACACCTCACCCGCAGACCAGGGAACAGCCAGATGGCCACCGAGCAAACTGCATCGTCAGAAGAGGCGCAGGTGCCCTGCCACTTCCCTCGTGTGAGGGGACGCTGAGATTAGGCGGACGTGCATTCCCCCGTATGGAAAAGAGGCTGTCTGTCATACCAGAACACAAATTGGGAGCCTGACTGGGTCCACACTCGTTTGATCATTGTCAAATGTGAAGATGAATGACCCAATGGAATTTAGTATTTTTACGACATTTGAAATTTTCTGCAGTATGTTTAATTTTTTAAAGGTTTCCGTGTGAGAGCGGAGGGAGAGAGCACCCAACAGGGCCCTCGAACCACGCTCAGCCCCTCATCTCAGCCGGCCAGCGTCACGGGCATACTCGCACCCGGCAGAGGCAGGGTTCCCTCGGAAGGCAAGCGGCCTTCCCACCTGGCACCAGCATCACAGAGCACCTTGTTACTGCTGCACCACCATGGCTGGCTGAATCCAGTCAGGGTCTTTATTTTTGCAAAGTAGCTTTTCTACTAACCAAAGAAGCTAGAATGGAACCACCGATCCATGAACTGAACCTCCGTTCCACTGTTGTATTATTTGCAATCAGTTTCAACCGCATGCTCTGGGGAGAGAAGCCAACACAGGTGACTGAGTTAGAAAATGTATCTGCACAATGACTTTTTTGAGAAAGATTTTTGCTATAGGGCGTGCTTGCTGAAGACACAGAAAGTGAGAAATCATCCCCCAGAGGGATGGCCACACCGCAGTCCCTTCAACCCCCTCTCCAGACTTTTGGGCATGTGCCTGGCATGAGTTCAAGCTGCTGGGTCTGGGACTCGAACTGTGGTCGGCCACGTGGGGGTCCAGTGCCTTAACCACTACGCCACTGCTACCCCGACAAAGATTTTTAACGGCTCTCTGTGGTTCAAATACTAACTAACTGCGGTAATTCTGAACTAGTTACGCTACTAGTTGGTACAAGTTAGACTACTTTGAAGAAAGGCTTTTAAAAGTACTTTGACTTGGGGACCAGCAGGTGGTTAAGGTGCTGGACATTCCCACTTGGCCAACCACAGTTCAAGTCCTGGCCCTGGTGGCTTGCTTTCTCACTTGCTGTCTCTCTCTGTGGTCAAATTTTTTAAAAAATGAATAAATAAATACACTTAAATAAATCTTTAAAAACAAAAAAATGTACTTTGACTTGGGGACCAGCAGTTGGCCTAATGGCTCCATGTCGCTGGAGTCCCATGTAGTCGACCGCAGTTCGAGTCCCGTACCCAGCAGCTTAAACTCACACTGGGCACATGTGCATGTGTGCCCAAGATCCCAAGAGGAGAATGGAGAAGGGATTGCGGCATGGCCATCCCCCTGGGGGGGTGATTTCTCACTTTTTGTCTCTTCTCTGTGTTTCTGGTGAGTGCACGTGCCCTATAGCAAAAAACCTCTCCAAAAAAAAGAAAATAATAAACATAAAAGTACTTTGAATTTAATACATAATAAATGATAAAGTATATAAATTTCAAAAAACTACATAGTAAAAGGCACAGTACACAATCATACTGTGCTGGACAATTTCTATCCTATGTAGCAAACAACCTAGTACCCTAAGTCAGGTGCTGGCTAAGTGCTTCAGAAATTACTCACGCATTACTCAATTGCATCCAACACGAAGCTAGTCTCCCAATCTGCCTCCCTTTCCTAACCCCTTAGAGCTCACCCCCACCTTCCGAGGTACAATTAGTGCCACATCCCAGGGACCCGTTCCAGTCACACTCCTCTCCTCTCCCAAGTGAGAATGCCCACTCTGGATGAACACAGCTCGGGCCTCAGTACCACCCTCTGACTTCGGGAACAAGGTACTGCCCCGGACCTGTGAATCTGCCTCGGGGGGCCATTTGGTACACGAATACCACGTCATTCTAAAACATGGAGTATGTGGACCCGTTCTTTTATCTGGGAAGCCAGAGGACTACTAGTATACCCATTTTATTGATATTGTTAGGCCTATTTGTTTTTTAACTTAATATTTAGTACAGAACACTTACAGAAAAACACTAAGAAATTACGACAGCCATCCTTTATAAATGGTACGTTACCTTCCCCCAAGCCAGTTTCTTCTTTCTTTTCAAGCTATCACAATGCCCCCAGCGGCCTTTTAAAACAAACCCAAGAGCTGTTACCTGGGAAGTCTGCTCAGTCACTGAGAGACTGAAGTGCTCACTAAGGAGGCGTGACGGGCCGAGCTCCCATCCCGGGTACTGCGAGTGTGACCGAACTTGGAAACGATGCCGTTGCAGATGCCACGACAGCATGAGGTAAACAGGTCACACTGCAGCAGGGTGGGCCCGAGACGTAGGGACACGTGCAAGCTCAGGGCCGCTGTCACGGAGAGCACAGCTCTGCCCCACCGTGGGCTCGGACTCGCAGCCTCCAGGACAGAGACGACGCGCTGCTCGCAGGCCACTAGCCTGTCGTGCTGGGCCACATCCGTTTCCCGGCCGCATGGCTCTCCCCGCTGCACAGACTAAACCAGCGGCTCAGTCACCGGAGCACGTCTTCTTCCCTCTGTACGGAGCCCCCGGTCTACACCCCGCTCTGAGGTACCCTTCATCAACTAGCAGCCAGCCGAGTACTGACGCGCTCCCTCTGACCCACCTAGTTCAGTGCCGGCTTTGCGAGAGCACCTGCTCCGTGACATGCCGGCACCTGCACACGCAGTCGTTACTTCTGCACGTCTGACCACCCTGGCAGCCTGGGCCATAGGCAGGCAGGACTGCATTTTGTATCTCTTGTGCCAAGCAGATATGGACACCTAAGTGGGACATCGACGGATACAATGCAGTTCCAATCACATAAGCAGCAGTCTTCCAGGCCCACCCAGTCTCGTCTACTGAGACGAGCCGCCCAGAGCCACCCACCGGAGGACACGCGTAACTGAGCACACTAACAACAAACGGACTCACTGGGGGGGTCTTCTGAGAGAGCTCTCTGTTCAACCTATCGGTGAAGCTCTGGATCAGCGTGTTTCCCCCTGCCACTATCACACTGCCGTAGAGACCCTAGGATTGAAGAAAAAGAAGCAACACGTTAGTTCCCATGTTCCCGACAATTGTCAGTACAGCCATGAGAAGAACACGTCTTCCACTTCCCTCTCCCTTCCTTCTCTTTTCCCTACTACACAGGTTCGTCACTTAATCCAGTGGTGCTCTGTCTCGTGGCCGTGCGACTCACACCCATGCCTCTGAGCGGTTACGTGGAAATCTCAGGGGATAGGATGCAGCCAAGGTCTCATTTAAAACTCTCCAGCGATGATTCCAATGCGCACAAAGGTCTAAGAACATTAATTAGCTTAAAAGCTTATTCTCAAAATCACAACTTTTTGGCAGATAGTTGCTAGTATTTAATCAGAGCTACATTTTATCATGACTCTCATCTTCGGAATGTTCGTATGAAAGCTACGGTATTTAAAATCAACAGGCACGGGAACAGCAGTTAGTATAATGGCTATGTCACTGGACTCCCATGTAGTCGATCGCGGTTCGCATCTTGGACCCAGTGGCTTAAACTCACACCGGGCGCGTGTGCGTGCGTGCCCAAGATCCCGAGAGGAGAAGGGAGGAGAAGGGACTGTAGTGTGGCCATCCCCCCTGGGGGTGATTTCTCACTTTCTATCTCTCTGTCTCCCTCTGTCTGTCTGGCGAGCACACACACCCTATAGCAAAAACCTCTTAAAAAAAAAAAAA